AGTTCCCCTCCAAGCCACTCACCATCCTGACTTAGAATGATATTGCTGTTCCTTCACTGTCGCTGGGTCAAAATCCTGGAATTCCCTCCCTAATAACATAGTGGGTCAACCCACAGCAGATGGATTGCAGTGGTTCAAGATAGCAGCTCACCACTACCTTCTCAAGGGCAACTAGAGACGGGCAATAAATGCTGATCCAGCCAGCAACACTCTCATCCCATAAATAAGTAAATAAGTAAATAAACAAACAAACAAATCATTGGATCTTCTTCTACAACCCGAAGTGTAATACGTTCTGCAATTACAGCCCATAAACCTTTCATGGTCAACAAAGTGTGGAGCTGGAGGAACACAACAGGTCAGGCAGCATCAGAGGAGCAGGAAAGTCGATGTTCCAGGTTTACACCCTTCATCAGGACTTGAAGAAGAGTCCCGACCCGAAACATCGACTTTCCTGCTCCTCTGATGCTTCCTGACCTGCTGTGTTCCTCCAGCTCCACACTGTGTTATCTCAGACTCCAGCATCTGCAGTTTTTGCTATCTCCATCCAATCTTTCATGGTTGCCATGCGGGGAAGTATTTCAAGAAAGGGAAATAATTTCATCCATTTTTGGCTGGACAGTTACCATAATGATTTGTCAAATCATGAGCTGGTACTGAAAGGGACCAAAGAGTACTGGGGCCCAAGGATACCAATTTAAAGATGGGAACAATTTTTTTTAAATAAACAGGTATTGAAGGAGTTACAAAAACAGAAATTGCTGGGAAAAGCTCATCAGGTCTGACAACACCTGTGAAGAAAAAAAATCAGAATTAACCTGTTCTGAGGAAGCATCAACAGAGCCAAAACTTTAACTCAGAAAAAAAAATCAGAGTTAAAGTTTTGGCTCCGTTAAACCTTCTTCAGAACAGGTTAACTCTGATTTTTTTTTTCCTTCACAGATGTTGTCAGACCTGTTGAGCTTTTTCAGCAACGTCTGTTTTTGTTCCTGATTTACAGCATCTGCAGTTCTTTTGGTTTTTAATTGAAGGAGTTGCAATACATTCACCATGATTTCCTGTCCAAGAGTACATCAGTAAGATCAAACATCTTTTTAAGGAATGGTAAGGGTCACTGTAAGAGTCCTGGAAAATTGAGTTTTCTTGCTTATTAATGAGAACTAGCTCAATTTCTACACTTCTTTAATTTCACTGTTATAGTAAAATATATTTTAATCCGCTTGGTAATGCACGCTGAGCCATGTCTTGAGGGGAATTGGGGGATGACTAATTACACTTTTTTGTGCAAATAAACAAAAACGAAACCAATTGGTCAAAAAGAAAGACAAACATGAGCTGTAGTCCAGTTCAAGTGTGAAAACAGAGGACTTGCTGTGTGGGAGCACAGAAAGTCCAACTCCCAGTTAAGCAGAGATGGTAATCAGAGTCAAGACACTTTTGCATATGTCAAGGCCACCACGTTTTCACTGCTTGGCACGGGAATGCTGACTGACTCCATCCGAGATGAAGCGTAGGAGACCGACTGGGCTGATGTGGCTTAGGCAGGCACAGATAGTTCAATAACACCTTTATCAATCTGTTTATTTAAATAAAAGCTAGATGATGACTGGGTTATGGAATCAAAGAGTACAGACAAGGCCGTTCAGCCTACTGCAGTCTCCAGAGACATTGCTGTGTAAAGAAATACAAGACTGCATTCTCCAAGGAGAGATTCCACCGAGCAACTGCAGATCTGGCAGCTGGGAGCATGATGACTGCACTTTAACCTATTTATCTATATATTAACCTATTATAATCTATTCTCATACTTTACTGGATGACAGAAGAGAGCCAATTGGATACAAAATTGGCTTGACGGTAGGAGACAGAAGGTAGTGGTGGACAGTTGTTTTTCGGACTGGTGGCCTATAAACAGCAGTGTCCCACAGGGATTGGTGCTGGGTCCACTTTTGTTTGTCTTTTATGTAAAACGATTTGGATGAGAATTTAGGAGACATGGCTAGTAAGTTGGCAGATGACACCAAAGTGGGTAGTATGGTCGACAGTGAAGAAGCTAACAAACAGATCTTGATCAATCGGGTCAATGGGCTGAGGAGTGGCAAATGGAGTTTAATTTAGATATATGTGAGGCATTGCATTTTGGTAAAACAAACAAACAAAGGCAGGACTTGTACAGTTAATTGTAGGGCCCTGGGCAGTGTTGTAGAACAGAGAGACCAATTCTTTGAAATTTGTGTCACATGTAGATAGTTTGGTTAAGAAGGTGTTTAGCATGCTTGCCCTCATTGCTCACACTTTAGAATACAGGAGTTGGGACATCATGTTGAGCTTGTACAGGACGTTGGTAAGGAAATGAATTACCTAAGGAAGTAGTGGATGCAGATACAGTTACAACATTTAAAAGACATTTGGATAAGCACATCAATAGGAAAGGTTTGGAGCGGTACAGGCTAAATTCAGGCAGGTGGGACTGGTTTGGTTTGGTCGGCATGGACCAGTTGGACCAAAGGGTCTGTTTCCATGCTGTACTACTCTATGACAGCAATGGTAATGCTATGGCATTCCCACTCAAATATTAGCACATGCTGAGACCTATCTGTACTGAATAAAATATTGTTACCCATAAGAATTATCATTTCATACTGTTTGGAATTTGAGAAGAAGGAACTAAAGGCTTAACTGAATTTCAACAGGTTACCCACACTCAGAAAACATTTGTTGTCTGTGCTTGGGTAATATTCAGTACACCTCCAGCTATGTTTATGATGAAAACGTAGCACCCCATGCCTTCAGCAGACTGCAAACTGTTTCTACAGGTTTATGAATGTATAAAAAAAATTAGGGCCATTGGCTATGTTTTATAGAAAAGAAATGAGGGATGTGTGTCAGTCCAATTTCATTATCCAACAATAATGAATGGTAGATCCCTAGGGAGTACTAAGGAGCATTGGGCACCTCAACGGTGTTGTAAGTCCATAGATCCCTGATAGGTGTCAGCTCAGATAGACAGGGTGGTGAGGAAGGTGTACAGGATACTTCCCTTCGTTAGCCGGGGCATAGAATAAAGGAGCAAGAAGTCTTGTTACAACTTTATAAAATATTGGTCAGGCCACAGATGGAATTTTGTGTACAGTTCTGGTTGCCACACTGTCGGAAGAACATGACTGCATTAAAGAGGGTGCAGAGGAGATTCACCAGGATGTTGCCTGGGACGAAAAGTCTTAGTTATGAGGAGGGACTGGATCGGCTCAGTTTGTTTTCCCTGGAACAAAGGAGGCGGAGAAGGGGATCTGATTGAGGGGTACAAAATTATGAGAGAAGGGTGAGCATCCTTCCTCTGTGGCAGACGTGTCTAAGACCAGAGGGTACACGTTTAAGGTGAGGTCTAAGTGGTTTAGAGGAGGTCAGACAAAAACATTTGTCACACAAGGTGTGGTAGAAATATAGAATGTGCTGCCCGAGAGGCTGGAGGAGGCAGATACTCTCACAACATTTAAGAAGCATCCAGATGTGCACTGGGGCAGAGTAGGCTATGGACCAAGTGCAGGTAAATGGGATGTAAATGGTGCAGTTTGGTGTTTGTTGGTCAGCATGGACATGGTGGGCCAAAGGGCCTATTTCTATGCTGTATGACTCTATGACCGGAATTAATAACAGTTCCTAGTTGGGCGTCAGATTCAGTTACATTACCCGCAAACAATTCTGTTACTCTGAATATTTACGAAGGAAACAGATGCATTTCCAAATTATGCTTTCTGCTTTAAAGTTGAGTGCCTAGGTTTCAACAATTATTCAGTGAAAGGAGTGCTGAAGAACTTCAGAAACCAACCCAGATTTGTATTCCACAGACTGAAGCTGCCTTCAAATCAAACCAAAGCACTAGTGGAACTGAAATTCAATTAATATCTCAGGAACATAAAGCTAATCTCAGGAATGATGACCGTGAAACCAACATCAATTGTCGTAAACATGCAGCTGGTTCCATAACGTTCTTTAGGGAAGGAAATTTGCTGTCCTTACCCAGTCCATCTTACATGTGACCCCAGACCCATGTCAATGTGGTTGTCTCTTAACTGTCCAAGAGGTCACGCAATTCAAGGGCAACTAAGAATGGGCAACAAATGGAATGCCTGTCAGCAGTGCCCACATCCATGAAACAATAAAGAAACTTGAGCTACTACTGGGAATGTCAGTGGGGAGACAAACTGAATAATATTACAGCTGAGGGATAAAGGACAGAGTAGCGAGTTGGGGAAGTTGGGAACTTCAGGTTTGGAAAAGAGATAGCACATTTAAGGAGTGACAAATGGGGCAAGGAGAAAAAAAAACATAAATGCGTAAATAACACAGAAAAAGAAAAGAGGAAGAAAACGAAACAAGGTGAAAAGAGAACTTAGGTTTATATAAAATCTTTCACAACTTCAGGATGCCCCAATATATTTTACAGCCAATGGTGCACTTTAGTAGCTACAGTTGCAATATAGGAAAAGGAATAGCCAATTTATACACAGCAACGTCCCAAAAATCAGCAATGAGATAATGACAAGATACTCTTGGTCTAACGATAAAATACTAGCCAGGACACTGAGGACAGCTCTCTACTCTTGTCTAAAATGGGGCTGGGGGCATATTGTTGACTGCTATTAGAGAAGGCAGATGGTGCCTCAGTTTAAAGGCAGTGCGCCACTTTCTCAGTCCGTGCCAACACTATCAGCTTGGGTTAGGCACTCCAGTCAGAGTCGAGTGGGACCAGAATGTACAACGTCCTACCTCAGAGGCACAGTGGCGACAAGATTGCTCTATCCTTTCTGAGCAGAATGACAGAAAATGATGAGAAATGCAAAGGGAGAGAAAAGGAATCCCTGGGGTAAAGGGATGAGCATGAAACAAACTGAGAGACCAAAAGGCAGCGGTTTTACTGGGCATGTCCATAACAAAGAGCAGGGACCTCTCAGCTGCTGGTCTCCAGGACACTGTCCTTTGCTTTACACGTCACTTACCTGAGGTCTCATCCTCGGGTTCCACCTGACGTAGTAGTTTACCCACAATTCCAAGTGTCGTAAGCTGGCGACTGGGTAAAGTATGTGATTCTCATAATTCACATAAAACGGGTTGGTGAATTCCTCGAGCTGGCTGTTTATGTAGGACCAGAGGGAGACTGTATTTTTCTGCACATCCTGTAACAGCAGGAAACAGGCCGCGGCCAGGTTAGATTATAAACTCGCCTCCTGCAGCGGGCACTGTTAGCAGACACACCGCGTGCAAATGAATGCTTCACATTGCAGGATCACAGCAAGAATTCCCACAACAGATGGAAACGCATGGAGCTGTGAACCTTTTTCACACAAAACCCTCAAAATCTGCAGCAAGTACACACACCAGAAACATAAACCAGAACTAATTTTAATTCATTATCTCAGTTACACGTAGAGTGCCAATGTTGGTGACGATGTAGAAGTACAGAGATTAATTACTGAGATGAAGACATTCATTTTTCTTCAAGTAAGCTCCTGCTGTGTACTGTATATGTTACCAGTAACAATGCAAATAGCATCGAACTATTGAAACTGGGTTCAAACTGTGTGTCTGCCAATAAACATCATTCAAACATTAAAAAGTCTGGGTGACATCAGACACTTACCTCCTTCATTCTTTGCTGCTCACTGTTATAAAGGAATGTCCCAAACAGACAGCTGTACAGATGGTCCAGGATTGTCAGTAGAAAGAGCTCATTAAACTCAAAGGCTGCAGGAAACTAGGGGAGAAGTAAGACACACATTTTAAAGAAAAATCAAAAAACTGCCTCTGAACTTTCAGCAATGGTTGGGCAAGAGGTGGGGAGGGCATTATGAACTCTGACGCCGTGCTTACGGATTGCTAAAAATCCCACTTGTGCCCATCACTTCCCCAAACCAGGAGCTTCTATCTTTAACGTCACCCATTTGAGAAAAATCGAGCAGGGACGGGTGGAGGAGAAAGAAAAGCACACGGAGGAAGAAGAACAGAGACAGAGAAAAAGGTACGGATGGATGGGTTGGGGAGAGAGAGAGGGGAGAGAAACAGACTAACGGGATTGGGAGAAAAAGAGACACAGACAGATGGGGGACGTGGGGCAGAAAGACAGAGAGAGACATGGGGTGAAGGGAAAGAGAGAGTCAAGGGAGACAGAGATGGACAGATGGGGGAGGGGGGAGAGAGACAGAAACAGACAGACAGACAGACGTGGGCAGGAAGAGAGAGAGACAGACAGACAGACGAGAGGACAGGGAAACAGACAGACTGACGTGCAGGGAAGAATGATACAGAAGGGGAAAAGAAGAGACATAGACAGACTGTGGTGCTGGGGTTGGTGGGGGTCGGGGGGGGGAGGAAACGGGTACAGACACATGGGGGGAAAGCTAGGCAGACAGGGAGGAAGAGACAGACCAGGCGGGAGGACAGACAGACAGTCAAGCAGGATGAAACAGCCAAGTTAGAGCCACCACCCAGACTGTTCTTGAGCATCACCTACGGGCCAGTTAGAAAACAAGATTTGTTAATTTGGGTTTTCCTGCCTCTGCCTTCTTGGCCTGGGAAGTGGATAAAAAAAATAAGGAATAGGAGGAGGAGTAAGCCACTTGGCCCATCAAGCCTGCCCTGCCATTCAGTCCGATCAAAGCTGTTCTTGGTCTCTAACTCAAAGTTCCTGCCCAGACCCACACTCCTCGATTCCTCCAGAAAACAAGTATCTGTCTATCCCAACTGTAAACGTATTTAATGATGGCGACTCCATAACCCTCTGGAACAGACCACTCCAAAGATTTGCAACCCTTTGAGTGAAGAAATTCCTCCTCATCTCAGTTCAAGTGATCAGCCCCTTACCCGATACTGTGCCTTCGTTTTAGAAGCCCTGACCAGCATCCATTGTGGACATTTCAATGGGGTCACCTCCCATTCTTCAACACTGCAGAGAGTTTCAACCCAATTTACCCAATGCTTTCATCAAACTCAACCCCCTTATTCCAAGGACAAAATCTCATGAACTTTCGCTGTACTGTCTCCAGTGCCAATATATCTTTATTTAAATATGGAAACCAAAACTGCACACAACCCTCCAGGTGTGATATTATAAATCGTGTACGATTGCAACAAGACTTCTTTATAACTGCACTCCAATCCACTTGCAATAAAGGCCAACAGGTCACTTACTTTCTGTATCTATATGCTCACTTTGAGTACCTTAGACAAGCACACGCACACACGTTTGCACACGCACGCACGTATACATACACACACACACACACACACACACACAGAGCTCTTATAAGCTTCATACTTTTTAAAAAGAAAATCAGTTTTCGTACTCTGATGAACATCTGCATCTTGTTGATCGCTCACTTAACTTAACGGTGTCTCTTTGCAGCCTCTTCGTAACATCCCACAGCTAAGCTTTCCATCAAGTTTTGTATCATCAGCAAACATGGAGACATTACCGTCTTAGAGTCATAGAGATGTACAGCACACAAACAGACCCTTCAGTCCCAATCAGCCATGCCAACCAGATATCTTAAATTAATCAAGTCCCATTTGTCAGCATTTGGCCCATGTCCCTTTAAACCCTTCCTAGTCACATACCCATCCAGATGCCTTTTAAATGTTGTAATTGTACCAGCCTCCACTACTTCCTCTGGCAGCTTATTCCATACATGCACCACCCTCTGCGTGAAAATGTTGTCCCTTAGGTTCCTTTTTAATCTGTCCCCTCTCACCTTAAACCTACTCCCTGTAGTTTCTGGACTCCCCGACCCCGGGGAGAAGACAGTGACTATTCACCAAATATACACCTACTGATTTTATGAACATCTATAAGGTCAGCCCTCAGCCTCCGGCACTCCAGGGAAAATAGCCCCAGCCTATTCGGCCCCTTCACCTCGGTCTTTAAAGTGGGTTACGATGTGATTGGAGATAAGGAAAGGCAAAAGTATAAGAAAACATCAAGAGTTGAACAATCCTGTTATTACACGCTGCGTGTTAATATATTTTACATTCTAGGGGTTGTCACATTCTGAACTTTTCTGAAAGACAACCAACTCTTTTCAGTCTTGTATCACCTCCAAATTAACACAAGAGTTTCTTTTTAAATTAAATGTTGTAACCACTGTATGAAAAAGAACTTCTCATGACTTTATATCTCCAGCGATGTTTACTTTGAAGGCCAAATTTTAATCTTCATGTTACAGCTGCAGATTACACCAAGAGCTGGCATTGTACTCTTTATCACTGGTATGAAAACAGATGAAATGAGATGCACTCAATTAGACCCTGGAATAAGAACATAAAGAACCACGAGCAGCAGGCTATTCAGCCCCTCAAACCTGCTCTGTTATTTGAAACCATCATGGCTGATCTCATCTCAACTTCAACTCCACCTTCCTGCTCATTCTTCATAACTCTTCAACCCATTACCAATTAAAGCACGGTGGCTCAGTGGTTAGCACTGCTGCCTCACAGCACCAGGGACCCGGGTTCGATTCCACCCTCGGGCGACTGTCTGTGTGGAGTTTGCACATTCTCCCCGTGTCTGCGTGGGTTTCCTCTGGGTGCTCTGGTTACCTCCCACAGTCTAAAGATGTGCAGGCTAGGTGGATTGGCCGTGCTAAATTGCCCATAGTGTTCAGGGAGGTGTAGATTAGGTGGGTTATAGGGTAATGGGTCTGGGTGGGACGCTCTGAGGGTCAGTGTGGACTTGTTGGGCCGAAGGGCCTGTTTCCACACTGTAGGGATTCTATGAAATCTATAAACTTCTGTCTATCTCATCTTCAAATTGAAGTGTCCAGGCATCCATCTCTCTCTGGGGTAGTGAATTCCACAGATTCACAGCCCTTTGAGGGAAATAATTTCTCATCATCTATTTTAAATCTGCCATCCCTTAGCCTAAAACTATGATCTCTCATCCTGGGTGAGGAAACATCCTCTCTACATCAACTTTGTCAATCTCTTTTAGCATTTTATATACCTCGATTAGATCTCCACACATTCTCCTAAAGTTCCAGAGAGTATCAGCCTAAACGATTTAATCTTTCTTCATAAGACAAACACCGCCCCCATCTCTGGAACTGCTTCCAATTTAACTACATCATCAAGTAAAAGCTCCAAAACGATACACAATACTCCAGGTACAGTGTCAGTAATGCCTTGTACAGTTGCAGCAATATTTCCCTGCTTTTACACTCCATTCCTTTAGTAATATATGCCAAAATTCCATTTGCCCTTCTCATTACCTATTGTACCTGCGGACTAGCCATTTATAAGTCATAAATGAGGGCACCCAGGTCCCTCTGCACGAAAGCATTTGAAGTTTCTTTCCATTTAGATTTTTCTTTTATTTTTCCTAACCAAAATGGATAACCTCACATGTATCCTTGTTAAACTCCATCTGCTAAATTCTGGCCCATTCACCTAACCTATCAATGTCCATTTATATTTTTCTTATTTCTTCATTGCAACTCACGTTCCCACCTATTTTAGTGTCGTCTGCAAATTTGGCTTTGGTGCTTCCTATTGCTGCATCCGAGTCATTTATATAGATTATAAATAGTTGGAGCCAGAGGACCAAACCCTGTGGCACCCTGAAGGAAGTTGACTTTGCCACAGGCCGTGGCTGAGGCCTTAGTTCTTCGAGCTAAAGAGCAAAGGCTATGGGAAGAAAGAAGGAACAGAATAATTAGTTGGATGATCAGCCATCTAATGGTCAAGCAAGTTCCAAGGGCCAGAAGACCTACTCTTGCTATTTTCTATGCTGCTGTAATTTTTTTCAAAAATTCAATCATGGGACATGGGCATCATTGGCTAGGCCAGCATTTATTGTCCATCTCTAATTGCCCAGAATGCAGTTAACAGTCAACCACATTGCTGTGTGTCCAGAGTCACTGAGAGACATTTTAGTGAACCAGATGGATTTTTCCGACAATCGACAATGGATTCATGGTATCAGTATGTTAATTCCAGATTCTTTATTGAATTCAAATTTCACCACCAGCCATGGCAGGGTTTGAACCTGGATTCCCAGGTGAATTTCTGGACTAACAATCCAGCAATAATACTAGTAGGCCACTGCCTCCCCAAGAAGGCTAGGTTACCAAGCGAATGATAAATGGAAATGGCTAGTCACAGTGCAACTGGAATAACAATACTAATATTCTATAACAGCACTATTTAAAAAGGAATCGTTGACTTAAGTCGAGCAGTGCCCTGTTAACTGGGATGGCCCTTTTCAGAAAAGACATCAACAGAATATCAAATAAGGAGTATACGACACAGAGGTATCAGGACCGATGCTGGGGATCAGATTCTACTGTCAGGCAGAGGCTCAAGAAGCTGAGTCTCACATGAAGTGGAACAGAAAGCTAGGGAGATGCAGTTTTCTTTCAACAAGATCATCAGGATGAAGCAAGATCATTTCCACTGGTTGGGGAGTCTGATAACAGGCAGTCAGCAGTTTCAAACAGCACTGAGAGAATGAGGAGGAAATCAGGAGATTTCTCTTCCCGTTGAGTTATTAAAGCACAGGGTATTCACCTCTGGCAGTGACTAAAGCTCAGTCCACTGCATCATTTCAGAGGAAAGGGGTGATTACTTTACAACCAGGTCAGAAATCACACGACACCAGGTTATAGCCTGAATGGGTTACTTGAAAACACAAGCTTTCGGAGCCTCAGTCCTTCTTCACCCAAGGCTCTGAAAGCTTGTGTTTTCAAATGAACCTGTTGGACTATAACCTGGTGTCATGTGTTTTCTGACCTTGTCCACCCCAGTCCAACACCAGCACCTCCACACCATGTTTTACAACAGAATAAGGGTGCAGGGCTATAGAGAGAGAACAGACCTGTGGAACAATCATTCCCTGGCACAGACACGACGACATTTTATGGAGGTGCCAGGGGTCCCAGCAAATGGCGTCACCTCTTTCCGCTGCACCTTGTACCAATCAAGTGTTTGGAAGAGGGACGGACCTTCCTTCGGGATCAAAGACCCCAAGTGGCAGAGGTCAATCTGAAGCTGGCAACTCTCATGCCCAGCAGCGCCATCATTACCCGCAGGTTCTCAGGGCCAAGGTCTCGGATCAAGGAATGGGAGGTAAGTGACGGGAAGGGTGGTTTTGTGAGGGAGGTGGGTTATAGCAAGCCCAGCTTTCTCTATCAGGCACCGAGTGACTTTGAGGAAATGACTTCTCCAAGCTCAGCAGCAAAAATGCCCAGGTGCTCCACCATTATGATCCCCCCCACCCTGTCCCACCTCTGGATTCACAACAGCAGCTATGGGATGTTCAAAGTGGGCATTATGTTTTCTTAAATTCATTCATGGGATGAGGGCATCGCTGGCTAGGCTAGCATTTATTGCCAATCCCAAATTACCCAGAGGGCTTTTAAGAGTCAACCACAGTCAACAGAGAGTCCAATGTAGGAGAGACCAGGTAATGGCCTCTTTCCACACTGTAGAGATGCTATGACTCCATTCTAAAAGAGAAGGTCATGGAATGAGAACACGATGAATGGACAAGAGACTCATTTTCTTTTCATTCGAAAGCAGGTCATGAGAAAAACAGTCAGACTTCTTGGTAAGAAGCAGCTGACAACGATAGCTTCAATGCACAGCACTGCTGATCAGGGCACCTCCTGTGGCCTGTCTTATGAATCCACTCCAGGAGGCCTCAGTAAATGCACACGTGGCAAAAATCCAAAACAAAAAAGGCACACACAAAACAAAGCACGGCACACAAGGAACACAGGTAGACATTTCCCATTCCTCTAATCACCTTCAAAAACAGAGAGCTCCAAATCCCACAGATCACGGCATCCCAGACTCAGAGAAACAGTGCCACCAAAAATAATCAACACACCTCATCTTTGATCCTCACAATGGACCAATAATAGCTTGGCGGTTAACGTCTGTCCAGTTAGAAAGTAAGATTTACACTTATATATCACCTTTAACTAGGTCAGGTCATCCCAAAGCACTTTAGAGTACTTCTATTGCATAGTCACTGTTGTAATGTAGTAAACAAGGCAGAGGGAACTCCCACAGTCATGAGAGAGACGTATGACCTCAGCACCGTCAAATCAAGTGCTGCACTTCGAGTCATCCAACACGGAAACAGACCCTTCAGTCCAACCAGTTCATGTCAGCCATAATCCCAAACTAAACCAGTCCCACCTGCCTGTTGCTTAGCTCATATCCCTCCAAATGTTTCTGACTCACGAACTTATCGAAATGTCTTTTAAACATTTCCACCACTTTCTCTGCAAGTTTATTCTATGCACGTGTTTGAAGAAGGCTCCTACCTGCTTTGTCATTTGCCACACGCAGTCAATGAACTGAAGGAAGATGGGTGATCGATCAGCATCAGCATGGTTCTCGTCACCGTGTCCTACTCTCTGGGACAAGAGAGAAAGAATAGCCATTATCCAGCACTCTACACAACCCAGGATGCCCCAAAGCACCTTACAATACTTCAGGAAAGGTCTAGTCACCATTGCAATTAAAGAAACAACTGTCCAGCATAGAAAGCTCCCACAGAAAGGAGTGAAATATGTGACCAGGTATGCCAGATCTGTTGGGTCTCTCCAGCACTTTCTAAGTTTATTTCTGATTTCCAGCAACAGTGGTAATTTGCTTTCACTGAAATGACCATACAGCCAGTTTTCCTGATGCTAACTGAGGGATAAATATTGGTTAGGACACTTGTGCCAACTGTGCGGCTCCTCTTCATACTGCTATGGGAGCCTTTACATCCACCTGAGGACCCAAACAAGCTGCAGTTCAATGTGTCACCCAACACTTATGTCATTTCAAAAATCCCCAAAAAAATTTCAAAAATTTCAAAATTCAAAAAATTTCAAAAAAAGCAGGAACAGCAACTCATATTCCGCTTGGGAACCCTGCAGCCAATGGTATCAATGTGGACTTCACAAGCTTCAAAATCTCCCCTCCCCCTACCGCATCCCAAAACCAGCACAGCTCATCCCTGCCTCCCTTACCTGTCCTTCCTCCCACCTATCCCCTCCTCCCACCTCAAGCCCCACCCCCATCTCCTACCTACTAACCTCATCCCGCCCCCTTGACCTGTCCGTCCTCCCTGGACTGACCTATCTCCTCCCTACCTCCCCACCTACACTCACCTTTACTGGCTCCATCCCCGCCTCTTTGACCTGTTTGTTTCCTCTCCACCTATCTTCTCCTCCATCCATCTTCTATCCACCTCCCCCTCTCTCCCTATTTATTTCAGAACCCCCTTCCCCTCCCCCATTTCTGACGAAGGGTCTAGGCCCGAAACGTCAGCCTTCCTGCTGCTATGATGCTGCTTGGCCTGCTGTGTTCATCCAGCTCTACACCTTGGTATTTTCCAGCATCTGCAGTTCCTACGATCTCTCTCAAAAATCCCTCTGTTTTATTTATTATTCACCCATGGGATTGGGGGTTGGGGGGGGGGTCACTGACTGGCCAGTATTTATTGCCTGTCCCCAGTTGCCCTTGAGAAAATGGTGATGAGCTGTTTTCTTGACCGAAGGGAGCCCAAGAAATTTGACCCAGCAACAATGAAGGAACGGCGATATATTTCCAAGTCAGGATGGTGAGGGGCTTGAAGGGGGACTTACAGGCAGTCGTGTTCCCAGATGTCTGTTGCCCTTGTCCTTTGAGATGGAAGTGGTCATGAGTTTGGAAGGTGCTGACTGAGGATCTTTGCTGAATTTCTGCAGTGCATCTTGTAGATAGTAGCAGCAGTATGTCCTGAGTTGGTGGTGGAGAGTGGATGTTTGTGGATGTAGTGCCAATCAAGCGGGCTGCTTTGTCCTGGATGGTATCAGGCCTCCTGAGTGTTGTTGGAGCTGCACCCATCCAGGCAAGCGGGGAGCATTCGATCACATTCCTGCCTTCGAGATGGTGCATGGACTTTGGGGAGTCAGGAGCTGAGTTACTTGCCGCAGTATTCCTAGCTTCTGACCTGCTCTTGTAGCCGCTGTGTTTATGTGGTGAGTCCAGGTGAGTTTCTGCTCAGAATGTTAATAGTGGGGGATTCAGTGACAGCAATGTCATTGAATCTCATGAAGCGATGGTTAGATTCTCTATTATCGCACTCACTGCCTGGCATTTGCGCAAGCGCGAATGTTACTTGTCATTTGTCAGCACAAGCCTGGATATTATCCAGGTCTTTTTTGCATTTGGACATGGACTGCGTCAGTGTCTGAGGAGTCGTGAATGGTGCTGAACACTGTGCAATTATCAGCGAACACATGCACTTCTGACCTTATGAAGGAGGGAAGGGCAGGACAAGATGGTTGGGCCGAGGACATTACTCTGAGGAACTCCTGCAGAGATGGCCTGGAGCGGAGATGACTGACCTCCAACAACCACAACCATCTTATGTGCCAGGTATGACACCCACTAGCAGGAAGCTTTCCTCTGATTCCCATTGACTCCAATTTCTCTAGGGCTCTTTGATGCCACACCCAGTTAAACGCAGCTATAATGTTGAGGGCTGTCACTCTCACCTCACCTCTGGAATTCAGTTCTTTTGTCCATCTTTGACCCAAGCCTATAATGAGATCAGGAGCTGAGTGGCCCTAGTGGAACCCAAACTGGGCGTCACTGATGACACCTTTCATCACTTTACTGATGATTGAGAGTGATCAGTTTTGCAGGGCAGCGTTAGCCTCCACTATTTGCTCCAGTATCTTACGTAGGATTTAAATCCAATTCTGGGTTTACAAAACTCACACATTTCAAGTGATGTAAGAAAGCGAAATATTCAGATTTTCTCACTCAACTCCACTACGCCCCCTTCTTTACTTACGACTGCAAATCTGTGTCCAAAACTTAGCCACTCCTTTTCGATCAGCACTTCAAATCCCTTAATCGTTCGGTAGTAGCTGTCTAGGATCAGCATGGTTAGGGACGTTAGCTGAGAAGTCCGGTCCCAGCCATCACTGCAGTGGACCACAACCGAGGTTTTTGCTGATTCAACCTTGTCCGCTATCCGAACGGCTCCAGCTAAAAGGATCTGGAAAGGAACACAGGACGGCCAACTAGTGACAGAATGAGCTACTGACAGGAGTTCAAGCAGAGAAGAAATCAGCATAAATTGAATCAAGATGTTGTATTTCTTCCACCCTCAACAATGTCCTGAAGGGGCCTCAGTGTGACTTATGACCAGTGAATTCCATTTGAAATGCAATTACGTCTGTTACACAAGCAAACAGAGAAACATTTATACACAGCAGAAAATCAAAGATTGCACTTTTTGGGATGACTAGTTGAGCTATGTTTTCAGTGGCATTGACTGAAGGACCCGTCCAGGTCCTTACTCCAACAGCATTTGGGGATACTTGTGCCTACTCAAAGAGGCAAATGGATCTCAGTTTAAATCTCCCATCGAAGACACCACCTTTGACAATGCAACACTCCCTTAAAGCATCAGCCAATAGTATGCAGTATATAATTAAATAAAGTGGTCAGGCCCTGTTAGTACTTGCTCTCAGTGTTATGAGATTAACCTTAAGTGGGGCAAAGGAAGAAAATTAAAGTGATTTTGTTTCAATATCTAGTGCTGTTTGTAGAAAATGTATGGGGCTGACAAGGAAGTGTTTAATCTTTAATTGTCAGGAAATAAGGTTCTTTTCCAGACTCTTTTGTCAAGTGAGGCTGCCAAGAATACACAAGGAGGCTTGGCTGAGAAGCCAGAAATCCATCTGTCTGTTGAAACACCTGAGCCCCCGCGAAAATGTACTCAATTGACAGCTCTGGCTCTCTCATCTATGTTGTATATTGCACAATGTTTGCTGGACCAGGATTATGAGATTTCAAGTAGTTGCAGTTTAATTTTTTTTTCTATTTTTGCCTTTAAAAGATCTGGATGATTCAATTATATTTGGCCTGCAGCAAAAGAATTTTTTAACATAGTGGAAAATTAATGAATGAACAACAACAACACTTGCCCACCAACTCTATCCTATCTAAAACCGAAAGAACTGCGGATGCTGTAAATCAGGAACAAAAACAAAAAGTTGCTGGAAAAGCTCAGCAGGTCTGGCAGCATCTGTGAAGGAAAATAACAGAGTTAACGTTTCGGGTCCGGTGACCCTTCCTCAG